TGGAGTGTAAACGCTTCGCCTATGAGAAAAAGGAGCTGCGCACGAACCGAACGCAACACACGCGAACCGAGGCAGTCGAACCGAACGGTTCGGACGATTTTCATAAACCGTTCCATCCCTAATATAAATGTACTGTTTATCAGACAATATTCTCCCAAAATTTAGAAAATTTCAATAAAAAAAAAATCCTGTCTTAAAATCTGTTGGGGTTTTTCGTTATCTTATGCAGCCAGTTAGTTAAACATCAGCTTTTACACCTAAATTTTGCCAATCATATATCCATGGTCATCTGTTAATCAATTTTTTTCCGTCATAGCATCTTGATTCATATGTCGCAGCTAATATACGCAACGGTTGAAATAAGAATCATTATTTACTTTATCGTTGAGTTCCGTCCCAGTGTTCACAGGGATGGATGTTTGTGTCTTCGGCAGGCATAGAGCTAGCAGAACTGGCAGCGTTGCGAGGCAAGGGCTCAAACATGTACGACTGTAAGGCTTGCTTGTGAACCTTCCGCCACAGCAATCCCGCCCCCTTGATAAAGAACCAATCACATTCACTTTTTTCACTCGTGTAAAGTTGGGCACCACTCACAGCCACTTCCCTACGACTTTAAACATCAAATATCTTCTGATATCAACTTGGTTGATAGTTTTAAGGGACCATGCCTGAGTTAAAAAAAAAAAAAAAAAGATTTTTTAATTATATTTTGGTTTGTCTTCCAGGTCTACGCGGTCACTTTTTGGAAACGATTCCCTCCAACAGTCCGAGCTCCTCTAACTCACCCACTGAACATAGCAGGCCTCAGGTCATCCCAGGACATACATCCAGTCCAAGCAGAGTGATGGAGGACGATCCAGATGATGGATCTCCTCTGCCATCGCTGCCCACCGAGATGTCTGAGGACAACACAGACTCCGACCACGAAAAAGAAAAGAACCAAACAAACTGCAGGGGCAACCTGTCAGGGGATGAACACAAAGGCGAGAAGCATTTTAAAATGGATGACCAAACTGATGATGATTACGGTGATGAAGAAAGTGAGGATTTTGAGGAGGTGGTTCTAAACCCAAAGTCTCTAAATGAGGTCACATCGTTAACTGACAGAACTAGTCCTTGGACCAGCATCCTATCAGACCCTGATCTAGTTTCTGCAGAGAACAATGAGACGCTGAAGGAGTCGGACATGAGTGAGGAGGAGGAGGACAAAAGTCTGGTGTTTACTCTAGAAAGTGATGTTTCTAATGAGAAGCCCAGAGAAGAAGACGATTGCCATCATAGCTCAGATGAGTCGGAAATTGGGGCTTCACATCTCGAGGGAGATGAAAACAGGATGCTTCAGTCTGTTGATCACACAGAACCAAACCAGCTGAACAGCCCCAACAAGTCTGGTGACACGTCACCCAGTCTGCAGCATGCCACTGACACACACGGTGCTTCAGGAACTCAGGACATCGACGAAAATCAGCTCCAACCGTATCCTTTATCTATATATACCCAATTTACATCATCATGCTTTTTTATTTGACCAAATTATCTTTTTAAACCAGATATTTATTCCATCGTGGGCTTCCATTATTAATTATAGAGCACGGCACAGCAAAGTCAAAAAAGATTACAGTTACAAAATAAAAGCAGGGATGAACATTCGCTTGTACACCAGGCATTATTTATTTTAAAGTTTTAGCCTGTGATTTGAATTAGGATAGAGTGGGTTGGTGTTGAGAAATGAAGCCAGTGAAGGTTTTTGAGGACAGGAGGGAAATCTGATACCAGTGTTGTGTGTGAATAGGACATTCTAGTAGTCCAGATGCCAGCTGACTTGTTGACAGATTGACGTTTTGGCGAATGCCCTAGTTGGTTGGTCTAAAACTGCTTTATTTGATCAAGCTGCAGAGGGCAGAGCAGGTGGAGTTCAATACTGGAAATGAAATACAAAATGTGGTTGAAGGAGGCTGTTTGCAAGAAGGAAAATTTCAGAAATCTCTATAATATGATAATCTATTTCTTTAGTTGAGTATTACAGAAGATCTGAACATTTAGAAATTAAATTACCGTTAAAGGGTTTGATTCACTACAGGAGAGACATTAGTGAATGATTTAGATTAGTTACGCAATAAGGAACATTTATTTTGGCCTAATAGATGACATAGACGGACTCGGATGTGTTTGGTAATTTTAATGAAGCAGGCTTTGTTTATGGCAGCACATATATAGTAGTGTCTAAAACCATCTAAAAACATTGATCTTGATTTCGTTTGTGAATTTACCTATACATGTATTCTTCTTATAACCTTTACCTGGCGCCTGCCAACATTAACTTATAATCTTTATAAGGCTTAGACATTTTATTAAATTGGGAAGAAAATTATTCCTGCTTTTAATATTTGTTTAGTTTGTGTTGTGGGAAGCCAAATTCAGTAGTGTCACATAGAGGACTATAAAAAGTTTAAATCTGCAGTAGGAAAATGTTAATTATTAGGGCTGCACCGATTTATCAGCCAGCTGATTGATTGGCCTGAATTTCCTTAGTTTTGGGAGAATGCTGATCCGCGGAAACTTGGATATGAAAGCGATCTTTTCCAGGAGTCTGATCTAACTCTGTAGAGGTCTGAAAACCTCTCACTGTCAGGGCCTTAAAGCAGTTATTTCATTTACAATAATTCATGATTTTTCAGTTTGATAAGATTGAAATATGTTGTGATCTTGTAACCACTTACAGTGTCCGTTATAAAAAGAAACCGGTATCGATCAAAACCAGAATCGGCATGTCAAGCTTTTTAAAGATCCGGAATCTGTGATCGGCTAGAAACCTGTAATTGGTGCACCTTTAACAGGGATGTAGAATACTACCTGTGTTTCTGGTTGTTGTTTTTTTTAACTTACCTTAAGCTTGTTGCCCATGGAGATCCCTAATTTCTTCCTCACCTCTCACCAACTGGAGTCGTCACTGAAAGCAATCCGTTTAGCACCGTCTTTCTCTCAGGCATCTTATGACTCTGTAAGTATTTCTCATTACTTTTACTTATGACAATGAAATTTATTTCGTTATTCCTGTTTTAATCAGATTAATTCTACACCATCAAGGTGCTGGATGGTTCAGGTATAAAGATTTCAAATCTTATTATTACTCCATAATGAGGTTTTAATCTGTTTAGTTGGGATACCAGAGATCTACCAACGGCTTACAAAGTAAATTGTAACATGAAATCAGGTAAATAAAACATTATAAAACTGAACTCAAGTTAGATATGAATAAGAGTTTAGTCAAGAAGATTAACTTGCTCTTTTCTAGATTTGGTTTTCTGTCATATGCCAAGCAATAAACTGCGTTTTACACAATAATAGCACATTTATTTATTGCTGTCGATGTTATTACATGGTTATTGATGTACTGTAAAAGAAAGCATTACCCATGACAGCTACTGATTATTTTAAATGTCATTAAAACTCAGCTTTGAATAATATTGTATTTGAAACTTTACGTTAAGGCTTTGGGTAGGTTAAACATTGAAAAACAATGCAGCGAATCATAAAACTAACATACTATCGTCCCTGATATGCAGACAGAGTTATTAAACTAAATTTAATAAAGTAGAATATTGTTGAAAAGCTCATTTATTTTGGTTAACTCAGTTCACACAAAAAGAAACATTGTATAGATTAGTTATTCAGTTTTTAAGCATTGATTTCTGTTTTAATGGTTTTCTACACGAAGCTAAAAAATTGAGTATTATAATTTTATGTGAGAGTTTGTCATTATTTAAAAAAGGTCAGTTTATTCTGACAAATGTTTCTTATTTATTCAATGTTAATGTATTTTAGATTTGTCTTTTGATGCACCGACAAAATAGCAACATCTGTGTTCGATCCTCCTTTGTAGCCATCAATGGGTTAAATAATAATCAAAGCTTTCTGCTCTGTAGAACCTGATGATGTTCAGGAAGCTGTGTGTTCATTGTTATTGCCAGCGACTTGTCTAAAACATGTAGGGATCGGAAGCCCTCCAGGGATTCTCAGCTGTTTGCCTGTTTTATTTGAAGCCATAAAATCTTCACTTCCAGCATTGTGTGTAGAGCAGAGTTGTGGTTTAGAAAGTCATCAGTAAGAAAATATTGAACAACTGTGACGATGCTGCAGTTAAAGCAGCATGCCTGAAACCAAACCTACTGTACGGTTTAAGAACCGGTTTAAACCTGTTAATTTCAGGGTTGTGTTGTTATGTTCTGCATGGAACGATCAGCAGTAACCAAAGAACACCTTATTGAGTTGGAGTGATGACACATCACAAACATGCAAGTCATTATGTCAGGCTTAGACATACCATTGCATAGGAGCTTTGCTAATGTTATTATGATTCATCTCTGTGGTACGTTTGTAGGGTCCGGCTTCAGATCACCGCAGCGTTCAACCCCGCAGACGTCCTCGCCAGCGACCCGACATGTCGCCTTCGTCCTTGAAGAAACAGACGGAGAGAATATCTAAGATATTTGCAGCACATTTCGATAAGCCCAGTTAGCACTGTTGCTTTACACCACAACAATCATGTAAATTATTTTTATGTCTGTATCTTTTATAAATAAACATTTTTTGCACTTTGAATCTTTTTGTCTACTTTGAAGTGAATCTTTACTGCCTTTTAGACAACTTGGAAGATAAGCTATTAAGATCTCTTCTATATTGTTAGTCTTGGTCAAGATGATTGAAAATTCCCAAAATATATCAATGTTTTATTTCAGTGATGCATCAAGAGGAATCATTGCTTTTGATTAAAAAAAAAAAAGCCCTTAATGTTTATTACCATCNTTTATCGATTTTATCGATTCGTTGTTGCAGCCCTACTTTATTTCATCTTTAATTTTTTTATGTAAACTCCATAGGATTATATTATTTAGGTTAACATAGAATAAAAAACAGCTTATAAGATTCTTTAGATGAAAAGCTCCTTTTCTATGAATTTTAAGTTTTGTCAGAATCTGAAGTTGACCATTTGAGAGATGTTAGCCAATTTTAGAGTATTGCCAAGTACTACTGTTAACCACTTTAATTATAATGTAATTCTAATTAAGTGTTTTTTAAGCTTTAACAGGTTATAATGTCTCACTAGCAATAACATGACAGAGTAACACTTTCTTTTACAGTACATCAATAACCATGAAATAACATGGTAATAACATAGCAAGTCACACATAACAGTTTCTATCAATGGCCACCACCTACCAACGGCTTACAAAGTAAATTGTAACATGAGATCTGGTAAATAAAACATTATAAAACTGAACTCAAGTTAGATATGAATAAGATTTTAGTCAAGAAGATTAACTTGCTCTTTTCTAGATTTGATTTTCTGTCATATGCCAAGCAATAAACTGCGTTTTACACAATAATAGCACATTTATTTATTGCTGTCGATGTTATTACATGGTTATTGATGTACTATAAAAGAAAGCATTACCCATGACAGCTACTGATTATTGTAAAGGTCATTAAAACTCAGCTTTGAATAATATTGTATTTGAAACTTTACATTAAGGCTTTGGGTAGGTTAAACATTGAAAAACAATGCAGCGAATCATAAAACTAACATACTATCGTCCCTGATATGCAGACAGAGTTATTAAACTAAATTTAATAAAGTAGAATATTGTTGAAAAGCTCATTTATTTTGGTTAACTCAGTTCACACAAAAAGAAACATTGTATAGATTAGTTATTCAGTTTTTAAGCATTGATTTCTGTTTTAATGGTTTTCTACACGAAGCTAAAAAATTGAGTATTATAATTTTATGTGAGAGTTTGTCATTATTTAAAAAAGGTCAGTTTATTCTGACAAATGTTTCTTATTTATTCAATGTTAATGTATTTTAGATTTGTCTTTTGATGCACCGACAAAATAGCAACATCTGTGTTCGATCCTCCTTTGTAGCCATCAATGGGTTAAATAATAATCAAAGCTTTCTGCTCTGTAGAACCTGATGATGTTCAGGAAGCTGTGTGTTCATTGTTATTGCCAGCGACTTGTCTAAAACATGTAGGGATCGGAAGCCCTCCAGGGATTCTCAGCTGTTTGCCTGTTTTATTTGAAGCCATAAAATCTTCACTTCCAGCATTGTGTGTAGAGCAGAGTTGTGGTTTAGAAAGTCATCAGTAAGAAAATATTGAACAACTGTGACGATGCTGCAGTTAAAGCAGCATGCCTGAAACCAAACCTACTGTACGGTTTAAGAACCGGTTTAAACCTGTTAATTTCAGGGTTGTGTTGTTATGTTCTGCATGGAACGATCAGCAGTAACCAAAGAACACCTTATTGAGTTGGAGTGATGACACATCACAAACATGCAAGTCATTATGTCAGGCTTAGACATACCATTGCATAGGAGCTTCCCTAATGTTATTATGATTCATCTCTGTGGTACGTTTGTAGGGTCCGGCTTCAGATCACCGCAGCGTTCAACCCCGCAGACGTCCTCGCCAGCGACCCGACGTGTCGCCTTCGTCCTTGAAGAAACAGACGGAGAGAATAGCTAAGATATTTGCAGCACATTTCGATAAGCCCAGTTAGCACTGTTGCTTTACACCACAACAATCATGTAAATTATTTTTATGTCTGTATCTTTTATAAATAAACATTTTTTGCACTTTGAATCTTTTTGTCTACTTTGAAGTGAATCTTTACTGCCTTTTAGACAACTTGGAAGATAAGCTATTAAGATCTCTTCTATATTGTTAGTCTTGGTCAAGATGATTGAAAATTCCCAAAATATATCAATGTTTTATTTCAGTGATGCATCAAGAGGAATCATTGCTTTTGATTAAAAAAAAAAAAGCCCTTAATGTTTATTACCATCCAGTTGTTCCTGTAGAGCAGCACGATGCTTCGTACATTTATTTTTTAGTTTTGTCCTTTCTTATGCCTTGCGGTCCTTAGCTCACACCACAGGTTTGTTTAGATAAAGGGGAACCGACCTCCATTGGCAGTATGATTTCCTCTGGAATGTCAAATAAAACTTCAGCATTATAGGTCCTCCACCATGCCTAACTATGGGAATACGATGATTTCCCATATATCTTTTTGTTTTGCACCAAAACCACTTGAAGTATTTGCTTATTTTCTTAATTTTAGTCTCCTCTGATCAAAGCATGCAGCATTACTTTATTAAAATTTTTTGTTTGCAAAATAAAAATGTATTTTATTTTATAGGGTGGTAATGTACATCATACATTTCTAATGCGTTGCACGCAGGGATTCTTCCGTAGCATGCTCTCTTAACTATGGTGATACTTGTAACAATGGCTATTTCGATGAAGTTCAACTGTTGTTTAGGAATCACTCATTCATAGTTCCAAAATAAATTGTTACATTTATTAAATTGTTATATGTTAACAAATGTTTAAATTGGACTATGATTCATTTTAAAGGCTGGATAAAGTGAGTAAATGTAACTTAATTATGATATTATTTGCTAAGCTGATCTGGTTTAAACCAGATTGCCACCAGTCAAACCAGCTGTTTAAATGTTCATGTGATCAAACAGGTGGATCAGCTGTAAAAAAAAAAAACACGCCCTCCGGCAGTGAAGCTTTAGGTACTTTGAGAGCTCACAGCACACCTTGTTCACTGTGTCATAACCACAATGGGTGTGGTACGTCTGTTACTGTTAAGAATAGTTATCAACATGTAAATGGATTGTCTTCAGTCGAGGATTTGTCTCAACATACCAGCTTGTTCTTGTTTTCCAACTTTCAGACAAATCCCCTCCAGCTGCAACAAGTAATGGAACAAGAGGAGGACCATACTCTAAGAAGCAAATTCTATTTATTATTACCTGAAACCTGATGTTGGCTCCAGTAGTTCGTTTCCTGACATGAAGTCCTGAAAGGATGCAGAAGAAACTTTGTTGAAGTTGCAGCATGACAGAATCCTCTGTTGATTTTTATTTATTTTTTTCTTTAAAACTTGATCTTTAAAAGTTTTTGAAAATGGTGGGAGGAGGAAAATCTGATTCGGCTCCAACAGCTGTTAAGATTTTTTCAGCAGGATCCGCCGGTTGCATGGCTGATCTGGTCACCTTCCCGTTGGACACAGCCAAAGTACGACTACAGGTAAAAGAAAAAAACAACAATCAGGATGTACTGTAAAGGTTTAAAAAAAAAAAAGTATAGGAATTGTAATAAATTATTTATAATAAGGGAGATCTTACATTTTTTGAACTTTTATCCTTTAATGTTAGATGTGATCCAAATTTGTATAATAAAGTTTTAAGCAGAACAGTTCACAGATTTAAAAAAATTGAGTTTATGTGAAGTGACATCCTTCAAAACAGCCTGCCTTGACATTTATCCTTAAAGAAATCAAATGCTTTACTTATTAAGAAAACATCCCAATAATCACTGCTTAAATACTGCAAATCTATGTTAAATACTAATTCTTACAGATGATGCACTGTTTTATTCATCTATGAATTATCTTCAATTTAAATTTAGTTCTAGATAAATTCCAGAGCAAAGAGCAACAGTTCCATGGCCTTATTTGATGTAATTTTCTTGCTTTAGTTAGCATAAAATGTTTGGTTTTTTTAAACATACAACCTTTTTGATTTTTTTATTTCTAAGATTAGTCATACAGGCTGGGCACAGAGAGAACAATAAGGACAGCAGCCTGAAGGAACTATAGAAAAGAAGTCATAAGAAACCTATTTTTAGTTTGCCATAATCCATGGAGGAGAGAACAAAAATGTGGAAAAAGGTGTTTATGTGAGATGAGAAAATCCTGTCTAATATGCAAAACACCCTAAACACAATAACCAGAATGAAACAGGGTGGTGGCAGCATTATACTGTGGGGATTTGCTGGAGGCTTAAAAACTAAAGTTCAGCACACCGTGACTAAAAAAAAACAGCAGAGAAAATACATCAGAACATTTAGTCCTAGAAAGGCCTAGTTAAAGCCCACATCTAAATGGGGTTAAAAATTTCATTTAATAGAGTCTCTCTATTTTGCAATGGATTGTTTCATTTTTCAGAAGTTTTGAAAAACAAATTATTTCCTCTGACTTCACAAATATGTGCTGCCTTTCAAATAAAATCCTGTTTACATATTTGGACCTATGTGGTTGCAAAATCTACATGATCAATGGCAAAATGTCCAAGAGGGAGATTTAAGTACCGACCTTTTCTTTGTCTCGAAATGTTTTTTTTATTTCTTCAGGTCCAAGGTGAATCTAAGGCTCTAACAAAAGGGGAGAAGCCAAAGTACCGAGGTGTTTTTGGCACCATCATCCCTATTGTGAGAAATGAGGGGCCAAAAAATCTATACAATGGGCTCCTGGCAGGTCTACACAGACAGATGTGCTTTTCCTCAATACGGATCGGTCTGTACGACACCATGAAGCAGCTCTATGCCAACGGATCAGAGAGTATGTTTCTGCTGACAAAAGCTACCTGTAACGCCTTTCTAAAGGGTTCTGATATTAAGAATTGAAACAACAATTACATTACAAACAAAATGTGATATTTTAAAACTATGAGTGGCTTACTTTCACAGTGCGGTAAAAAAACGGTTTATATAAAGCTTATTCAAACAGTA